CTCATTACAGACCAAATGCCCACACTTTCATCCACAGAATGACAAATCTACTTGCTGCTAATAGTGTAACAAAAGATAACTGGATATGCAATCACCTAACAGTGTGTTTTGAAAATATTAATATTTCAGCTTTTTTAGTCCAGGCTTATTCACTTGAAGTAGATCTCTAAAAGCACATGCCTATTTGCATGTTTACTGTAAATACATTATTCATGCTAGAATAGAAAGGAAGCAATCTTGCTACGGTATAGAATAGGTAGTTTAATCACTGTGTATTAAAAACAGAGTATTAAATGAGCTCCTTTTAATTATCTTAGCCCTCCAGTCTTCCCTCAGTTTTGATAGTGCTTCATCAAGTGCATTTAGTATTTGAAAAGGAAATTTCATTCACATCAATATGAAATTTCAGGTGCACTGATACCTTTCTTACAAGATTCTGGCTCCGGAGAACGGGGACTTTTCTCACTTACCCACAGGTTTACTCACTTCCTGGCCTCAGAGATTCTGAAGGCTAGTCTGGAAAAGCAGGTCCTGGTATAGAGGCATGAGGCTTCAGGGATTCCCCAGGTCTTATGCCTTCACACCAGGACCCGTGTAGGCTTTCCCTGCTTATAAAGAGGTGCCCCAATATTCCCCGTGTTGGCCCTCTGCAAGCAGGGAAAGCTAGGCATGTGTTCCAAGGGTTTAAGGGACCCTCATACCCCCAGAGCACCTGCTGAAGGTGGCTGGAGAGTGCACATTAGCTCACCTTGCCTGTACTATCCTGCCACAGACATCCACAACAATAAAGTGGCAGAATTTATGACTTACTTTTGTCACACTACTAATTTTCCTCTGATGTGGTGTGACAAAGATTTGGGAATATCTATTTGCTCACCATTTTTGCTGCTGTAAAAACTATTATGGAGACACAACTGGGACATCAGGCAATGTCTGTTTCTACCCTTAGCTCAGTAAACATGTCCTCTTTGGTTATGTTTGTTAGACCATGAGGTTTGGAGATAATCATGTTCCATCATTTTCAAAACCATCAGATGGTATTCAGATATTATGCAGTTTAAAAAATAGATATGATGTATCCTTATCCATGTCTACATTAATGTATAGAAAAATCCTGAAAAAGATAAAAATGCGCTTTTCAGTTTTTGAACTGCATTATTCAGGGATCCTATGTAGGTAGCAGCTTTTACAAGTGGTCTGCTAAGCATCCATTTAAATGGTGAATATGCCAGAATACTCCTGTGTGTCAGTCTTTCCACATACTTTACAAAAACTGGAACTACTTTTTTAAAGACCTTTTTAGCCTGATTCCATAACCAGCATCTTATAGCAGCACAGAGGAGAGGAAACTTTAGCACAGAAATGACAAGATCAAACAAACAAACAACGCCCCTTCCCAACAGGCTTTTGAGTCCAATGTTTCCACAGCAACACTATTTTTGTTTCAACTGTTTAACTTTAGCCAAAGAGGAGTTCCTCTCCACATTATACAGAATACAGTCTCCAATACAGTCCTGCTAGGACGCATATTACAACAATTTGTGCTTGTGCTTCCTATTCAAAAGGAATTCATTTTTTTACTAACGAGTGAATCAGCTTGATCATTATCACCATATTTATTCTGACTAGTCAGAGGACAATTAAGTCCTCTTTCTCTTTTTCTTCTGATCTCTCTGCCTATGAGAGTTGATAACATATTAATGCTAATGGGAATAAATGTTGCATCACTTGCTCATTGTATTCCATTTTCTCTCTGTCTCTCCATTTTTTCCCTATAAAACTCTAAATACCCTATTCAATTATCTGACTTGATTATCCAGTTTTGGGGATAAAATGGCCTAAATCCTTCACTGGCATAGAATATTATAACACATACAATGTCCGTCTTTTCTTTGTTACCGTTACTAGTCTTAAAATGTGTATTTACTGCACTGCCTTAGCATTCCAGACAGCCAAGGTCAGAGACAAGTTCACCCTTTAGTCTATCAACTTAGTGTCTCCTTCTCCAATACTGAATGAGTAATAACAATAGGTTGAATAATAAATCATGCTATCAGTCATGTCGTATTTATAACTACCCACAGGAACATTTAAATGGAATTCTTCTTGTTCAGTTTGTGAAGCACCTGCCTTATACATTTTCTATAATTTAAGGATTCATCCTTAAAGATAACTTGAAGGTCAGGAATTTTTCACCTTGAATCATTTTTGGCTGAAAGTTATTTTTGGAGAGCCTGATATTAGTTAAGGCAATAAAAGTTAATTAATAACGTAATAATTTTTCAGCAAAACTCTCTGGATTTTTTCAGGTGAGATCTCAGTGGTTATCACACTTTTTAGACTCTAGGCACCCCACATTAGACTCAAGAAGCCCTTCTGAAAACGCCAGCTCTAAGCTTTCAAAATTTTCCAAGGTAGCAATCAACTGTCTGCACCTCCTCTTCATCTTCATGCAATCCCCTGCCTCATTCACTACAAACTTACAGGCTTTTGCAACAAGGGAGCCCAGTTGCCTCTTGCACTATACTGTTCTTTGTGTCGTGCCTCCTGCACTACACAGCCCTGATACATCTCCAGAACAGGTTCTAAACGCTCACTGAGTGCATAACAATACACAAATAGGTCAAACTAAGGTTGTACAGACAACCTTAGATCTGACATTTCCTTACTTTTGAATGCTTGATTGTATGGCCTTTATAAATGTTCTTGCCTTATAGCTCTTTAAAAATACTTTGGAAGTTAAACACAAGAGAGCAAACAGGAAGAATGATTTGATCATTTGGCATTGCACTGATATCCATGTCTTTCTCCTCTGCATTCATTTGGCATCACAAGGTTGGGTGACAGAGTATACCTGAGGCAGACACCCTGCTTTTTCAGTGCTGATGTCCAACCCCAGCTCTATCCCCCACCCCCGGCATCCACTGCGGTAGTTATTACAGAAAGTCTGGCTCTGGGTTTGAGTGATCTCAGCATTATATCCATAGAGTTCATTTTTACATTCTAAACACTAACAAGTCTACTGGTTTTTCAAAGGATCACAATTTGGTCAAACCTGGGTCAGCTTTCACAGGTTATAGTAAAGGGCAGATCTCTGACACAAAGGCCCCCATCACCCCAGATTTCACGTGTCTGTTCTAAATCACGTGTGTGACAGCTTGGCTAAGAATGGCTTCCCAGAAGTTTAACGGGGATAAAAAGCATCATACTTCATAACTCTAACTTTATTCTCTGAAATGGCTGAAAGGTTTTGCCTGAAATTAAACAAACAAACAAACACACACACAATCCCTTCCTCTGAAACATACATCTACCAAGACAGGCATAGAAAAGAGAAAATTCAGCCTAGACAGCCAGGCAATCAAAATCATAAGCAAGTGAAAATAAGATCTTATAGGGGATGATCTTGTAATAGGTCATGCTACCAGGCTACCTACCATAAATGAAAACATAACACAGGCAGCGTTTAACAGTGCAGTAAAGTATCGCACTAAATTTAAAACACAATAAATGCTTTGGATACTGCATTAAAGCATTGTCACTGTTAATCAAGTGTTTTGTTGCCTGCCTGTTTTGTTTCGAAAGCTTAAAAATTATCAGGGGCACAAGCCAAGGTGCACTGAAGTTAATGGGAATCTTTCATTGGCTTCAATGGTCTTAAGAGCAGCCCCAAATGAAATATTTCAAGGTTGTCAAATCAATAAAAGCGTATTTCCAGTTCTTTTTCTCCCTCCAACGCAAACGTAAGTGCCATTTAGGGGCTCACTGTTTTGCATATAAGCATAACTGAAGCAGTTCATGGGGCACTCAAACATCAGCTGGCATCTGTTTTATGAAAATGTGTAGGTCAGTTACATCTAATAATTTAAGGCTGGCTGTTCACCCACATCAAGTGCAAGATGGATAATGGGAAAGGGTTTAGCATAAGGGAGCATTATAAAATGCTTTAATTCGCTGACTACCCCCAGTTTATTTAACATACTGGGTATACCTTGAATCATTAATCTGGCAAATGTCATTTTTTATGTGATTTTTACCACATGTGATTTTATTTTTTTGATTGGGTGCAGTAAGTGCTGTTCCCATAGCAGATGTTCTCAGTTCTCATGTACCTAATTATAATTTTATAATATAGTCACCTACAGAACTGTGCACTGTAATGTATCATTTAAAAGCCCACTGTTCCTTGCACATTAAATTCCACTTCTCTGTTTCAAGCACAACTCTATTTTCAGCTATACACAGCTGGTGATACACAGAAGAAAGGAATCAGGCAATCAACTGGAATTTTGATGCTGTAGCTTGGGAGACATGTTTCGCTCTATGCTCATGGACAGGAATTTGAAACTAAACTATTTGAGATAAATGCTTTTTGTGATAACAGGTTTTATGGTATAACTGTAAAATGATATATTAATTAGAAGCTAATATACCCAATACTAGCTGTAATATAACCCACTTTTCTTCCTTTTTTACAGAACAAGATTCTGATCCTGCAAAGACACATTCATGAGTGATTTCACACATGAGTAATTCCATCAAGCAAACTCTGTGCAAATCTCCAGAGGATCTGGCACTAATATTTCACTCAGCAGGTGCTTATTTACACCTATAAGTGGCAGCACAAGCAAAGAACAATGTCAGTCACAGGATAAATACATACATATTCCCTGCAATTCCTCCAGTTTGTTTAGTCTGTGCTTATTCCATCTCTAGGTTCCTTAAACCTTGTGTTTCTTGATCTGACACTTGGCTTGAGAAGTGTTAGTGTGGTCTAAGCACAACTTAAATGTATCTGTCCCTTGCAGGAAGGGTTTGGTCAGGGGCTGAGAAAGAAAAATGTTAGATGTTTCCAGCTCATATTTTCACAGTAACAGTGCTCAAAGAGCTTTACTTCCCTAAGCTTCTAAAAATAAGAAAGAAACATTCATTTTGGCAATACATTTGCTTATATATTTCTATAATTTTGACATTTCAGTAATTGATGAACATACACATACCATATAAAGGTGAAGTTCCAACAGCACATAGAAGTTATTCTAGAAAAAGTTGAAAATATTCAAAACTCCTATAGAAAATCTGTGGAACATTCATAATCTTTCTTTTAACTAAGTGTCCTTCTTTACACTACAGAATATGCAGACTTCTTATATTTTGATTTTGGGCATGTTTAAATTTATGTTACTGAACCTTTTTCCATTGGTTTTTACTTTTTGGCCCTATGACATGTAAGTGAGATGTTATAGTGACAGTAAGCTTTCAATCTGGTGATATTTAAGGTTAAAATAGCTCTTAGGAAATACTTTTGGCTTATCTCTGCTAGCTTGGTTTGTGAAATATCCACAAAATGCTGACAAGTAAGGCTAAAGGAAAAGATTCATGGAACATTTAAGAGACTAATGAAGTACAGAGACTGAGACTGCTCTGGACTTAATCAGGGGCACCATCACCCATGCTTCAGATGAACTTTCATTACAACGCTAATCTTTTTTTGCACAGAAGTTACCATTGGGAAGTTTTTTGGCTACTCAAATTATTAACAAGGCACTGCCAGATTAAACATTTTTTTATCATGTCCTATCACCTACACTTAGTATCTGGTGACAGAGAAAGATGGTAGTTGCAGAAACAATATGCTAAATTTATCCAGAGTTTCAATAACACTTACCTAAGATTTAATCAAAGTATCAAAATACATTAATCTCAGAGGAGACAGGGAGCCAGCAGCAGCAGAGACAGTGTTGCACAAACATTTTTCTAAATTCCCTAAGATTAGCTGTGAGTCTTGATACACCTATAAGACCAATGTGATCTCTGAGTTGTTACTATTTACTGATACTCCATATTGGCCTCATTAATGTTACTGTTTCATAAGCAGCTACACACTGTAGCAGTACATCTCTGAAACTCGCAGTACATATTTGTTCAAATTAGGTCCTGTAACATTGCATGATGTAAGTGACTCCAGTATAGCTGTTATGAGCATTATGCACACAAGAGTGCTAAAAGTTACTGAGTCTACATGATAACATAGACAAAGGGATTAGTTTGGAGTTTCTTCTCTTTTAGGATCAGGTTTTGCTTTTGACAGTTAATGAAATGTTTCCTATTGATTTTATTTTGAACAGAAATGACAGTGGGATCTGACTTTCTGGGCCTATTTATAGTGGGCTCTGTTACTGATTTGCTCTCATATATCTTATGCCATAAATCTAACTAAAAGTTACAGATCTAATACACAGAGGATCCAAATAGTCTGTTGCCAAGAATAGTCTTCATCACAGCTCCAGCACTGGTTAGAGTACTACAGTTCTATTAAGACAGCAAGGAAGAAACACCATGCCATAATTCATTAAATGACTTTCCCCAGGGTGGCTAATACCTTTTAACAGAAAGGTAACATTCTCAGCTGGTGCAAAGTGGTACAGATAGTGGAGTTGTACTTCTTTATACCAGTTAGGAATATGTCCTATAGTTTGCAATTGTGCAGTACCATTTAATTTAACTGCTTCTTCTCGTGTCCTGTCTGAGATTGTTGATGACATGTATTTAGCAGAATTTGCAGATTCGTTAAAATGTGACAGAGCTTCAACATGAGTGCTTTTGCTTTGGCCGTTATGGCAGTGGGAATCCTGAGTTTCAATGAAAGTCTGTAAATACTGAAACACGTTTCATAACGGGATAGATCCTCATCTCATATAAATCACTATTATTTTTTTGAAGTCAATGTGTGCCAGTTGAGGACTGCAATGGAGGGAAAGCTGCTAGAGATGAAACAATGCACTATGTAGTGGGAATACTTTTTACAACGTATTTGCCTGTAGGAGAGCTTTAACAGTATAATGCAGCTTGATAGGTGGGTTACTCTGAGAATGATTTTTGTACTGCATCGTGAAAATATATCATGATATGTTGAGGCTGCTCTGCTAAGCACTCTGGCTTACTGAAAACTAACTTCATACCAAGGCCTGCTAAGGCCTGATCTTAGATGTCATAGTCCGGAGGTTGCCCACTTGATCACTAACTTACCATAATTCTCCAGTTCTACTTCTACTTGTGATGCACAGGAGTTGATATTCTAAGTCACCATCAATGGCTTGGAGTCCAGATAAAGGACTTCTCCACTTTTGGTGGACCACGGTCTTTCCACAGGATTGTCAGGACAGCAGTTCTTAGAAGGATCAGGTGGCAACAGGAAGAGGAGACTGGCCTGCCAGACTCTGAGAACATTTCCATGAACTTTGTAGTCTGCCGTGCATAGTCTGCCTCTCAGGCCTATGACTACAGCTATCACTTGCCAGGATGCTGACAGTTTGCATGGTTGTTTGAGATACGAACATGATTAAATAATATGGTTCTGTGCCAACATTACATTCTGTGAACTGCAAGTCAGCAAAGGAATCACTGTGAGCTTCCAAAAGCTTACCAAAATCATCAAAGGCAGATGTTATCCCCCACAGGTCCAAATGAAAAAAAACTCAGCCATGCTTGGAGTAGCACTATAAACGTATTTTGCCCATGTAGCACGTGTGTTAAATTCTATGAAATAGTTATCTGCATGTGTGTTTTAATGCACATTAGTCTATTTTAATGTGCATTAAAGCATCACTAAAAAAAATAGGATTCTTTCCTGAATATAGGCACCTAAGCATTCTTACTCTAGAAACAAAGAAAGGATCACATCTTTCCTTCAAAACATGACAAGAGGAGGTGGCGAAGGTGGGGGTAGCTCAGTGGTTAGTGTACTCATCCAGAGGGTAGGAGACCTAGGTTTAGTTTTCTCCTCTTCCTCACGACATGTAAATTCCCATCTGCCAAGAGAATGCCCTAATCACTAGGCTATAATCACTGGGTATTCCAGAACTGGGGAGGAGATCATAGACTCATAGACAATTAGGGCTGGAAGAGACCTCAGGAGGTCATCAAGTCCAATCATGAGCTCAAAGCAGGACCACCCCCAACTATACCATCCCAGCCAAGGCTTTGCTTACCTGGGTCTTAAAAACCTCTAAGGACAGAGAGGAGGAGCAGAGAAAAAGAGGACATTCAATCCCTTCTATTGACACTGTTTACTTTGCTTAGAATAATTAATCAGTACTTGAGTCAGAAACAGGGAAGGTGAGCAACTTGGAGAGCAACACAGTGGTGAGAGCACTCACTTGAGCAGGAAAGACTGCTCCAGAGACTATGCATTTTATCTTAAGAAACCATTGTAGAAAAGAGCTATTGGAGCAGGGATTGGAACCCAGCTCTCTCTTCTCTTTAGGAAACTACACTAATCTCTAGGCTAATGACTCTGTCTCTCTCTAGCCTGATGACTTATTTATTTCACGCAAAACGTTAACATAAATTTTAACAGGAAGGATTAAAGACAACAGTCACTAGGGCTGTGTGTAGCTTCAGTCCCTGATTTGATCTGGCAGAGATTCAGCCTGATTCGGTGGCCGAATCTCTGAATCCGATGTGAATCAGAGAACACTTTAATCTCCCTGAATCGAATCAGAACCCTCTGAATTGATTTGGAGAGATTCGGCAATTCAGATACAGACACAGCTGTACATTTTTTTCTACATACCTTTAGATAGCAGGCATCTTGTTAATGCTGCAATGCTGAGGTGCATGGAGTGTCCCACAGAAGTGCGGGGGGCTCCCCAGCGTGCTTGGCAGCAGACCCAGAAGTGGACCAGAAGCACTCCCGGTCCACTTTTGGGTCCCCCAGGGAGCTCACAGGGGGCCCCCCTGAGCTCCCCCCAGCTTGGTGACTGGTCCCTCCTGGGTCTGGGGGGGCACCCAGGTCCCCCTGTGTCCAATTGTCCCCCCTGCGCACTCCCCAGCAGACCCAGGAGTCCACTTCCAGGTTCACTGCTGATCACATGGAAGGCTCCCCCACGCTCCTGTGGGACGCTCCATGTGCCCCAGCATTGCAGCGATCATGAGCCATGCCTGCTACCTCAAGGTACAGAGAAAAAACTTTTAAAGCTGTGTCTATGTCCAAATCACTGATTCTTTGAATCAGCATCAAATATTCAGATTTTGATTCAGCTGAATCGAATCAGGGACAGTAATCCAAATCAATGAATCAAATCACTGTCCCTGATTCGGTCCTAATCTGAATCCGAATCAAATAGGGCCTGCTTTGCACACCCCCAAGGTCAGTCACTTTGTTGGTGTTTTGGGCAGTCTCCTGGGAAGCAGGAGATGTAAGCCTGAATACATGTAAAAGATGGGAAAGAAACCCATATCTGGGGCAAGTTCTCTAACCATTAGTCCTTTAGATAAAAGCGAAAGGCAGCAGAATCACTTTCTCTGGACATTTTTTGAAGAGGAGCAGCAGCTGTCATGCCCAATGTGGATACTGATCTCTTATGGATGCCCAGGGCACATTTACCAGTTTTATCAGGCAACACGCAAAAAGAGATACCTTTTATGTGGCTCATGCCAGGAATTTCATGTGATCTTCAGGGTGCCTTGCTCAGAACTGTCAAAGGCGTGGGTAGTTTTGCACATGTCTAGAAGCAGAACTTTACATGCCTGGAGTCCTTTAGGTATTTCATTTCTCAACATTATAGACCTTAGATGTCTTCAGGGTTAGGCAGCAAATGTGAGGGGGTTTTGAACATTTTTTTTTTACTTAGGTGCCTATAGTGGGAGCTGGATAGAACATAGGTCCCTGACTGTTATTGGTCTGCTACATGTTCAAGTGTGACCACTAAAGGTGTTTGAGAATAGCAAAGACAACAGTAAAGAAATATATCTTGCATGTTACAAAAGCCCATATTTGAACCCGTTGTTTCTAAAGTTTACCCCCTATTTATTGGATTTGATTTATATACCGCCTTTTCCAACAGAGGTTTAAGGTAACTTGCAATAGAAGAACACAATAACTTACAAAACAGTAAAATGCTTATAGTACAGGAGAAAACAACACAAAAACCCACTAAACAGTCCACTGACCTTTGCTTGCTAAAGGCCTGCCCAAATAGGAGGGTCATACAGTACTTCTGAAAGATGTTGAGGTTCAGGCTCTAGAAGCTGTCAA